TTTAGTAACGTGTAGATGAGTACTACTCCGTATTTCTTTAGAGTGTACACCGGCTGAGCTTCTTGGTTGGCGGGACGTCCGAGCACTGTTTGCACGTGAAGAGAAAATTATATGCATGTACTCTGACTGCACATACTGTAGGAGGCTGGATATGTCGTATCTGCGAGCGTGCTAGAGTTACTTGTATTACTGTACATGTAGGCCTGCAAATCAAAATGGCATGTCAGCCTAGGTACGGATCGCGAGGCAAGACAGGTACAACCAACGGACAGGATAGTAGGGTGTACCTACACCCGAGAGTAGAAAAGCCACTCTTTCAACCTCTTTCCTCCCTCAACCGGGCGGACCTTCTGCCAGGATGAACCAGAAGCCGTGTGCCATGAAGGTACTATAGATGCTCCAGGCGGCAAATGGGTTGTGAGCTCATTCCTTGTGCGCGTATGTAGAAGGAGCACGGCCACCGGATGGGACGACGCACCGGCCAGGTTACTCTCAAGGTCCAAGAGGGAATGACTGGATCGTGGCGGATGGATTCGGAGGTAATAAATTCATGTACATGTGCTTCATGTACGTAATAAATTCAGAGGTAATAGTCGATGAATGAGCCATCCAGTACACAATGGAGTGCCCAAATTTGGGGCCAGCAAAAGGGACTATGCAACCATATGCACATAGCGAACAAAACTTAGAACATACAAATAAAGCAGAGAGGGGTACATCAAGATTTCTTGGACTCAATACCAAGGTTAGATGAGGATGGTGTCTGCGGAAGATGGGGGTCGAGGGGGCAAATCCAGTTGTCTTACTTACGTGATGGCTTCGTTCCTCAACCGGGCGGACCCTCCGCCACGATGAACCAGAAGCCGTGTGCCATGAAGGTACTATAGATGCTCCAGGCGGCAAATGGGTTGTGAGCTCATTCCTTTGTGTGCGCCAGGTTACTCTCAAGGTCCAAGGGGGAATGACTGGATCGTGGCGGATGGATTCGGAGTGAGAGCTCAGGGATGGAGGTGATCCGGGAGCACGCTATGGAGACGGGGACGAGGGACGCCTGGCGTGGGTTTAGGGCAGGTGCGATTATTACGGGAGTGATTATGGGTGAATAGGTGGCGAGAAAATCTCCCAGATTTGGAAACATATCTACGAGGGTGATGCGTCATAAGTGCTCACAAATTATTCAAATCTCACCCTCCCAAGTTGACATCAATGATTAATGCTCATGACATGCCAAAAGCCTTGATCCACACAATTCAGTATGCCGAGGGTGATGTATAGGTTCAAAATAAAACTCGTTTGTTTCTTTCTCTATTTCTCACGGGCTTTTTTACAGCGAGACTGAAATCCAATTAAAGTTCTTTGCATGCATGTAAAAAAACTAGGCTAGGACAGCCAAGGTAACACGATTCGGTGATGTCTTGAATCGAAACTGAAATCCTATTCGGACACACCTCGCCGTGATCGTTCCTAGGAATAATAGGACTAATGCTATCTTCTTGTGGTTGTAGCTGCTGATTGGGAGATGAGGAGGTTCAGCAGGCTGAGGAGATGCCTCCTGCTTGGACTCCGGCAGAGTGGAACCGAACGACCACGACCGTATCTGGTGCATCCCGGCAAAGGCGGCGGCGGAGAAGCCAACCGCGACCTCCTCCGGTAGAATTCTGCTGAGATCAACGGTTGCATTGGCCTGGTACAGGGCACCATCGATGAGGAGAGCAACAGCCAGCGTCCTGGAGTCGTTGTGGTATTTCACGGTGGCCTCCATGACACTGGACGTCGTGAGGTTCTTGCCGGGCCATGTCGCCGTCGTGTGCGCGGGCGCCGTGGAGTTGACGGAGCTGATGTCGATGCCGACATGGTTGAGGAAGGCGTCAAACCCTACCGTCACGATGGCCGGGCCTCCGCCGGCGCTGCTGCGCGGGACGTCCACGGAAGGGTGGTGGCCGAGGAAGAAGGCCATCCTACCGCCTGGCTGCTGCGGCGGGCTGTCCTTGTCCTTGTCTGGGGTGATCCGGAAAGAGAAGGCGGTGGCGAAGCTAGCCACCTCGCCGGCGGCACCGTTCCACAGCGGCACTTTGTACCGGTACGACGCCCGGCTGTTTTTCATCAGCTGGAGCGCCGGTGGACTGACGAGTGCGTCGCCAGCCACGACGATCGACGAACCGGCGCCGGCGTCGGAGTAGTCGAGGCTGAAGGAGAGCGAGAAGGCCCCGCGCGGCGCGAGGTAGAGGCATAGCAACGACGCGAGGACCAAGGTGGTGGTCGAACGACGGCTAGAGCCCATTGCTTGGCCGTGGTGCTTGGGAGGGAGGAACCATGAGGAGCATCATGAAATAGGGAAAGGGATTTAGTGGCGGAGTAGTTAGTTGTCATGGTCAAATTTAGAGCACAAATAGTGAGCACGAAAGGAACTAGAGAGCCCACGGATGATGGTGTTGTCGTTGAAATTTTCTAGATAAGGCCATTAGATTACACAGGATCAAGTCGCCATCGTACTATCATATAAGTAAAGTCTAATGGTCGTTCAACAAAGCGGTTGACACACTTGACTTTTTTCTTATTCTTATCTTTTTTTATTTACTCATCAAGTTTTGCTTTCCTTGTTACATACCGAATATAAGAGGACACAAGCAGGTCGAACAAGTTCACAGCCATTCATTCAGTCTTCAGAAGCAACGTATGTGAGGCTCACAGCTAACATACAACTAATACTCTAGGTCACAGCCACAACTTGCTACGGGGCAACAGCTACAAGGTATTACAATGTACTCCCTCCGTCCCAAAATTCTTGTCTTAGATTTGTCTAAATACGGATGTATCAAGTCACGTTTTAGTATTAGATAGATTCATATCTAGTCAAATATAAGACAAGAATTTTGGGATGGAGGGTGTACTACTAAGCAAACTAGAAGAACGCCCGTGCGTTGCAACGGGGCCACATTAACTTTAAGAGTTCAATATTACGACATTGGCGACCTTTTTTACCATCAAATCCTCACACACACAGACACACACTCTCCCTCCGTCTTCCTCACTCTCTATCCCCCTCTCCCTCTCTCTCTAACACACACACATATCCATCTTTTTGGGTACGGAATCATAATCCATCTATTTCACACATACACGCTAGTGCATAACAATATGGATTATGTGTATTATATTTGCCACCAGAACTGAGGGAATTAATTTCATGTAAATCGACCAGCCACAGCTCCAAGAATACGCGGACGAGGTGGCTCGGGTCGGCGTCGGCGCCGTCCAGCGCGGGCCACGGGCCCGCTTCCAAGTGCACGTGCAATGCATATCTTCACAAATATTATAACCAGATGTGAGAAATCACATGCATAGAAAAGACATTCTGATAGCAATCCAAATACCATACTCAATTGAATACCTAACCTGGACAATACTCTTATTTCTATGCGCCAAAAAAAATTGGAATAGCAAAGCTAAGTATGCCTACATACGCTCAGATTATATATAAGAATCTTGCGTGAACAATTGCAACAAAGCACTAAGCAGCGATAAATTTAAATAAAAAATCCATTAACTATCCAGGCAACAGGCTTGTTACAACATAGAGAGATAGGAAAATGTCACCTTCAGTAATGTAGCGCAAAGGAGTGGAACGAAGCATGAATGAGCGGTTGTCTGTTCTTCTCCATGTACATGGATCAGCAGTAGAGGCCAAGTATATAAGTACTTGATCGAACTCCACACTCCACTCTTCGTGTACGGAGAGCCATGTCATCTTCTCGCCGCTGCAGCATGGGAGGACGGCTGGTTCACGTGACCCTCCAGCTGGGGGATCCATGGTGGCTGACCGTCGAGCTCGAGGCAGAGAAGTTGAGGGCAGTAGTGGCAAGATCCATGCCGGCCAACCGGGCGAAGAGGAGGTCGTCGGGGAGGGACACATCGGCAAGATCCGGTCACCACGCGACCTGAAGAGCAACAGTGATCTCCACAAACTGTAGGCCGACGGCGTGCTCCATCCCCTGTGATGGGGTGACCATGGCGGTGGCCACAGCTCCTCATGCTCACCTCGATCTTGGCGACACACCCTGAGTGTAGGAGGCAGCAACGACCTCGACGAAATCATGGCCTCCATCCCGGAACGCAATCATGTCGCTCTAAATAAATGGATTCAATCATGTGACTCTAATTACTTCGGATTGTTATGTGCACACTAAGCGGGGTGCAGTTAGGAAAGAAAATGTTCTCTAATTAAAGTGATTGAGTGATTTAAGGTAAGGTTAATTAATTTAGATTTGATTTTTAGTGATTGTTAGTAAAGTACGATGCGTCTTTAAAATCTTTTATTTTTTTCCTTAAAATATATTATTTGTTTCCTAAAGAAATTTGCAATAATGGAAGATATCGGTTGATTTGGATAAGTTAGTAAATTTAAATCCGTGATTGCGTGCACGTTTGGAAAGTGCTGATCTCCACAAGCTGTAGGCCGACGGCGTGCTCCATCCCCTGCGATGAGGTGACCATGGCGGTGGCCACAGCTCCTCATCCTCGCCTCGATCTCGGCGACACACCCTGAGTGTAGGAGGCAGCAACGACCTCGACGAAATCATGGCCTCCATCCCGGAACGCAATCATGTCGCTCTAAATAAATGGATTCAATCATGTGACTCTAATTACTTCGGATTGTTATGTGCACACTAAGCGAGGTGCAGTTAGGAAAGAAAATGTTTTCTAATCAAAGTGATTGATTGATTTAAGGTAAGGTTAATTAATTTAGATTTGATTTTTAGTGATTATTAGTAAAGTATGATGTATCTTTAAAATCTTTTATTTGTTTCCTTAAAATCTATTATTTGTTTCCTAAAGAAATTTGCAATAATGGAAGGTATTGGTTGATTTGGATAAGTTAGTAAATTTAGATCCGTGATTCCGTGCACGTTTGGAAAGTCTTGATTTGCAAGGAAAGAGCCGAGGGATAAATAAACCGGTGAATAAGAAACCATCATCGAAAAAAATCTACGACGGTTAACCTACGAAAAAAACCCGGGCGAAAGTGGTGGGACGAAAAAAAACCTGAAAGCGAGATTACCAACTGCTCCATTAGGAGTAGAGATTAACAAGAGAAATATGATTACCTGACTAAGCAAAGAAAACGAGCGAGCCGCCTTTTTGGTTAAAATCGTCGCCTTCATCAGGTCCGCAGAAAGACAAGGCCCGATGTTCTTTCCTGACAACAGGTGGAGAAAAGGAGTGAACTGATCTGATCACCTGGACGCCTCCAGAGGTTTAACCGGCATGGTGTAAGGAGAATCCCAATCCGCGCCGAAGACATCCTGCAGCTGAGAAACAATGGAGGGGTCGTACATTGCGAAGCTCACTCCAGCCGTGGTGTAGAAGTAGTCCCAGATGAGGTTGCTGGTGCCGATGTTCGCCCTCACATCGCTGACGGCGTACTTGCCATGGTTCACCCGGGTGAAGTCGGGGTAACGGTTCCCCGTCGGGGCGCCGTGAGCCAAGGCAGGTCCGGTCTCGTTGTACCCGGGAACCAAGTAGTAGTGTAGTACCTGACCTCGACCTTGTCGCCGCAGTGGTTGTATTTCGAAGACGCGCAGAGGATGTTTGAGTACAGGAGGCTCTTCAAGTATTTTTCGGTGCTTGGGATGAAGTGTGTCCAGTAGGCTACAAGCAGCCTCACTGTTGCGTTCTTGGAGAATATTACCTATCAATGGTCAATTCATCACCAATCAGTACATGAATTCAGAATTGATAAGTAGAGATAAACTGCACGAGAATACTCTAATTCGCATTTTTTAATTGATCTAGACATTTGATGCTCTATATTAAATGTCAACTTGCAGCCTGTAAGACAATAGGCTTTGGGGAGAACCGGCACAACCCTCTAGAGGTGGCCTATCACATATATATATATATAATGAGATGGTATACAACGTTACAATATACACATGTAAATACAGTCTAACACCCTCCCTCAATCTTAGCCACTTTCTAATGAATCTAGAAGGGTAAGATTGCGCCTGCAAGTCTCAAACTGTGGCAAAGGCAATGGCTTGGTGAAGATGTCAGCAAGTTGATCCTTGGAAGAAATAAACTTGATCTGTAGTTGCTTCTGAGAGACACGTTCACGCACAAAGTGATAGTCAACTTCAATGTGTTTCGTTCGGGCATGGAATACCGGATTTGCAGAAAGGTATGTAGCACCGATGTTATCACACCAAAGAACAGGAGGCTGTGATTGGGGTATACTTAACTCCTGAAGCAAGGACTGTACCCAGATGATCTTTGATGTGGCATTGGCCACAGCCTTATACTCAGCCTCAGTACTGCTACGCGAGACAGTAGCCTGTTTCCGAGCACTCCAGGCAATCAGGTTAGAGCCAAAGAAGACAGCATAACCCCCCGTGGATCGCCTGTCATCCGGATTGCCAGCCCAGTCTGCATCAGAATATGCTGAAAGACAACCAGAGTCAGACGGCCGAATATGCAAACCATGAGCCACCGTGAAACGAATATAGCGCAAAATCCGCTTAACAACAGACCAATGAGTGTCACGGGGTGACTGCAGATACTGGCAGACTCGGTTAACAGCATAGGAAATGTCTGGTCGCGTGATCGTCAAGTACTGGAGCCCACCAACAATACTCCTGTACTCTGTCGTATCAGAAGAAGAAAGAAGCACACCATCAACAGCATTGAGCTTATCAGTGGTAGACATGGGTGTAGTCGTCGGTTTGCACTTAAGCATCCCAGCTCGCTGCAACAAATCCAGAGAGTACTTCTTCTGCGTCATAACAAGGCCAGCAGCACGAGAAGTAACCTCCACACCAAGAAAGTAATGAAGCTTCCCAAGGTCCTTGACCGCAAAATCAGCACCAAGTGAGCGAACAAGCGCAGTAGCAGCCGACTGAGAGGAGCTGACCAAAATGATATCATCTACATAGACCAACAAGTACATAGTAACCTCAGGCCTTTGAAGAAGAAACAATGAGGAGTCAGCAGTTGATGATGCAAAACCATGAGCACGAAGAGCCATTGCAAGACGAGCATGCCAAGCACGAGGAGCCTGCTTCAGACCATAAATTGCCTTGGACAGACGACAGAGATGATCAGGGCGATCCGGATCAGAGAAACCCGGAGGCTGGCGCATGTAGACCTCCTCCGCCAAGACACCATGAAGAAAAGCATTTTGAACATCAAGCTGACGAAGAAACCAACCTCGAGTAACAGCCAGAGAGAGAAGAAGTCTGATGGTAGTAGGCTTGACCACTGGACTGAAGGTGTCTTCATAGTCAAGTCCAAAACGCTGTCGAAAACCACGAGCAACCAGACGAGCCTTATAGCGCTCAATGGACCCATCAGAATGCCTCTTCACTTTGAAAACCCATTTGGAATCAATGACATTTACCCGTGATTGTGGAGGAACAAGAGTCCATGTCTGATTGCGAAGAAGCACTTGATACTCCTGCTCCATGGCCTCTCTCCAATGAGGAATGCGCATAGCAGCTTGATACGTGCGTGGCTCAGAGGATGGATCTGCGAGAGCAGCAGACATGCACGCCGCTAACCAAGCAACTGTGCCATCGTGATGTTGCTTAGGCTGAAAAATGCCACTCCGACTGCGCGTATGTGGACGTAGAGCAGCAGCAGGAGCCGGCGGAGGCGAAGGTGACGGAGACGTGATGGTCGCCGGAGATGCAGGAATCACCTCAGGCGAGCTCGGGACAGACGACTCCGGGCTGCATGGCGAAGACTGGCCCGACGACAGGGGCTCAGAGGCCATGGGCGAACCGAGAGTGGGCGAGGCCAGCTCCGGTGACACCGGCCCAGACGGCCTTGGCGAGGCGAGAGCAGGCGAGGCCGGCCCTGGTGAGAAGGGCCCAGACACCCTGGGCGAGGCAGGGGCGGGCGAGGCCAGGCCTGGTGATGACTGCCCCGACGCCCTGGGCGAGACGGGGACCGAGGAGGCCGGCCCAGTCGGCGGGGTTGCAGGGCGCGACGATGGCGAAGGCAGCCCAGAAGCCAGAGGCGACCGAGCCAGGACGTCGATCGGCCGTGCATGAGCACGGAAACCGAGGCCATGCAGGGGCGCCATGTGCTCCTCATGCACAACAGAAGGTGCCGAGGATGAAGGCGATGGCGACGAAGAGGAAGATGGCACTTCCAGAATCTCCAAACGAGCCCCACGACCAGTGCCTGCACCATGGTTAGGCAACAATAGAGGAGAATATGCAACATCATCAAATTGGTCAGAAGCAACAGAGGATGAATGCATGACAGGTGGCTCGGTAGTGGACACAGGGAGTTTGGCAAAGGGAAAAACATACTCATCAAACACAACATCCCGAGAGATGTAGACACGATTAGTGGGCACATGAAGACATTTGTATCCTTTATGAAGAGAGCTATAACCAAGAAAAACACACTTCTTGGAACGAAACTCAAGCTTACGCTTGTTATATGGACGGAGATGGGGCCAGCAAGCACACCCAAACACCTTGAGAAAGGTGTAGTCCGGTTGTTCATTAAGGAGAACTTCAATGGGAGTCTTCATATTCAAAACACGAGTGGGAGTACGATTGATGAGAAAACATGCAGTGGTGAAAGCATCACTCCAAAAACGAAACGGAACAGATGCATGGGCCAAAAGAGTCAGACCAGCTTCAACAATGTGACGATGCTTACGTTCTACTGAACCATTCTGCTGATGTGTATGTGGACATGCTAAACGGTGAGTGATCCCAAGCGACTGAAAGAAGGAGTTGAGGTTGCGATACTCGCCACCCCAGTCCGACTGAACATGAACAATTTTGTGCTTGAGAAGGCGTTCAACATGTTTTTGGAACTGAACAAAAATGTCAAACACATCAGATTTACGTTTGATAAGATAAAGCCAGGTAAAGCAGCTGTAAGCATCAACAAAACTGATATAGTAATTATGACCACTAACAGAAGTCTGAGCAGGACCCCATACATCTGAAAACACAAGTTCTAAAGGATGTTTCACCTCACGACTGGACTCCGAAAAAGGAAGTTGATGACTCTTCCCCTGCTGACAAGCATCACACACTGCTACATCTTTATTACCAGACACACTAGGAAGCTCATGACGACGCAAACCATGCCGGACAATAGGTGTGGCCGGGTGACCAAGACGAGCATGCCACTGTGACGGAGATACCCGAACTCCACTGAAGACGCGAGCGACGCCAGGATGCTCTAGACGATAGAGACCTTGGCAGAGCCGCCCACTAAGAAGAATGTCCCTCGTGCCCCGATCCTTAATAAAAAGATCAAAAGGATGAAATTCACAAAGCACATTATTATCACGAGTGAGTTTAGGAACTGAAAGAAGATTACGTGTCACAGATGGAACTCGAAGAACATTGCGAAGTTGAAGACTCCTATTGGCATGTCTAGTGAGAAGTGATGCTTGACCAATATGAGAGATGTGCATACCTGCTCCATTGGCGGTGTGGATCTTGTCGGAGCCATGGTAGGGTTCACGAGTGTGAAGCTTCCCCATCTCACTGGTCAGGTGCTCTGTCGCCCCAGAGTCCATGTACCAGTGGGGATCAATGGAGTAGGACTGAGTGTGTCCTGTGGCTTCTGCGGCGGCGGACGATCAGCCATGGCGACCTGACGAGCAAAGTTGCGTGTATCCTTCCCGTCATTGCCGAGACCAAGAAAACCCCGCTGGAAGCGCTTGTGACACTTCGAGGCCCAGTGCCCATCGTGACCACAAAGCTGGCACACACGTGGACCGCCAGCCCCTGGTAGCGTCGCAGTAGGAGGAGGGGCCGAGGCGGGTGGTGGTGACTGCCCCGAAGGAGCCCTGGATGAAGCAGAGGAGCGACCACCCTTGGTGGCGGCGTTTGCCGAGAGGGCGCCGTTGCCCCTGGATCGGCGCGTCTCGACTCGTTGCTCAGTAAGCAGGAGGCGTGAAAAGACCTCGTGTGCTGGCATGGGCGTGGAGTTGCCCCTCTCATTGATGATCTCGACTAGGGCGTCATACTCCTCATCAAGACCATTGACAATAAACGAGTTGAACTCGGAGTCGGTGAGGGGCTGTCCAATGGAGGCCAGCGTATCGGCGAGACTCTTGACTTTGTTGTAGAACTCAGTGGCGGTGGAGTCAAGCTTCTGACACTCCCCAAGTTGGCGACGGAGCCCAGATACACGAGCCTGCGACTGTGCCGCAAACGAGCGCTCAAGAATAGTCCATGCCTCGTGGGACGTCTTGGCGAAGACAACAAGCCCAGCAACGGCCGGAGAGAGCGACCCCTGGATGGAGGAGAGGTTCGCCTGATCCTGCCCTGTCCAGACACGGTGAGCCGGATTATAGACCGGACCGTGCACGCTGTCAACCAGCGCAGGAGGGCAAGGGAGAGAGCCGTCGACATAGCCAAGCAGATAGTGACTCCCAAGAAGCGGAAGAACCTGCGCGCGCCAGAAGATGTAATTGTCCGACGACAACTTGATGGTGATGAGATGGCCGAAGTGAAACGGCGGCGGCGGCTGCGATCCCATCGAGGAGACTGGCTGAGGTGAGACCACCGTGGAGACAGTCAGAGGGCCAGCCGGCGCGGTGACAGAGGGCGCGATGGCCGCGGTTGATGCCGCGAAGCCTGCCAGCGCGACGTCCTCCGCCACCAGCGGCGCAGTGGCCGAGGGCGCGACAGCCGCGGTTGACGGGGCGACGGCGGTGTGGGCCACAAGCGCCTGCCCGGGCGAAGTAGCAGCCGGCGGGAGCGCGAAGAGGGAGCCGACGCTCCGTGTCCCGATCGGCGCCTGAAGGGAGGCGGCATCCAGCGGCCTCGAGAGAAGTGCCGCGAGGGAGGCCGGCAGAAAGCCGGTGGCGGTGGAGCCGGACGCAGCGGCGGACGTCATAGCAGTCGGGCGACGGCGACGGCGGTGGCGGCGGCGGCGGCGGTGGCCGCGGCGGCGGTGGCCGCGGCGGCGGTTTAGGGTTTTTAGGCGGAAGCGGACGTAACCTAGCGTGATACCATGTAAGACAATAGGCTTTGGGGGGAACCAGCACAACCCTCTAGGGGTGGCCTATCACATATATATATAATGAGGTGGTATACAACGTTACAATATACACATGTAAATACAGTCTAACACAGCCTAGGTAGTAATATATCCAAGTATGCCAATTCTACTCATACTACAGGAAGCTCTGTGTTGCCTGCATAATTGGCATAACAAATGCAGTTCAAATGCCTCTGATATCGCTGACGACAAAGATGGCCAGAACACAGTTTGAGAAGCATATTGCGATTGCCCAAGCCAATCCATGGTACTTATCCTCACCATTCCCCCAGAATTAACAGATTTGATGGTGTCGACCCAACCTTGCTCATCTGCCTGGAACTTATCAAATGACAGCTGCAAAACATGAACAATTTGAATCAGCATCAGATTCAGAACATGTGTTACAACTTACAAGATTATTCCTTGGAAAAGTGATCCGCATGTTTTAATTTCACATAGTATGACAAAAGGACACGTAACTGGAAATCGATCATTAACGCCAAGAATCATAGAGCTTGGAATAAATATTTTACAGTCTTCCGATATTCCATTGCTTGATACAAAAAATGAAAGCTATTTCATTTCTCTTCGGAAAGAGGACAACATGTGACATTACCTCAGGTGGAGCAAACGAAAGATAGCTCAAGTGGTGTTCAAAGGCATGGCATGGGCAATTTCACGGCCAAAAAAAGGGTTTCACTATAATCCTTGAAGCGGTGGCCGATCAAGAGACCTGGATTTGGCATGCTTTTTTCGAATGCCTGGATCTTTGAATGACATCAACATTGTCAACCGGTCACCATTGATGAATAAAATTGCAAATGGTGAACTGCCGCAGGTGAAGTTTATAGCTAATGGCAGTACATACAAGTATGGCTACTATCTTGCGGATGTCATCTACCCAAAGTGGCAAATATTTGTGAAGCCATTGAAAAAACCGGAAGGTAAGAAACATCTTAATTTTCATAATGCTCAGGCGGCGGCTAAAAAAGATGTGGAGAGAGTTTTTGGGATTTTGCAAGCCCAATTTGCTATTGTGAGATGACCGGCTAGATTCTGGGATCAAAAGATGCTTTGGTACATAATGCACGCTTGTGTGGTCATGCACAACATGATCGTTAAGAATGAGCGTGGCCAAGATGAAGACTACTCTCACTATGAGCTCTTGGGACATCCCATGCGAGTGCGGCGGAGGGCTGAAAGGATGGCCCATTTTGTTGCCTCCTATCATGCCATTCGACTTCCCACAGCGCATGATGATGTTCAGAAGGATCTCATTGATGAGTGGTGGGCTTGAAATGGCCGCCAAAGAGCATCATGATTTGTGCATTTGATGTTGTATTGTTGAACTATTTGTTGTATTGATGAAAGATAAACTATTTGTTTGAGCTGTAATAACGGAATTGAACTATTTATTGTTCATCTATTTTGTTTGTGTTTGATCTTCTTGCTTGTGTTTGGAGCGCATATGTTATTTGTGTGAGAGAGCGTGCGCTGCATTTTAGCGCGCCTGCTTAAGCTACGCGCGCGCTGCATTTCACCACGGCTGCTGAAGCCAGCGCTGCGCGCCGCGCCAAACCAGGCGGTCGGCAGGCTGCAAACTGGTTCTTAACGCGCCGCGAATTGGGCGGTTGTTGAAGATGCTCTTAAGAATGTTAGTTTTGAGATTCCGAAGATGGAAGGGGCGATGTCCTTTGGCTTGCGGCCCCCAAGCCGTGGCGCATGCCAAAATTTTGCCATCCGCCCATCATCAAGTTTTACCAATGTGAGCGCATAGAAAAGGTCCAACAATTCAACTCATACCGTGGCCATTTCAAACGAAGGATGATCGCAAATTTATCTTGATTCAGGATCTCCAGCCCTCCGCGGTTAGCTGACCGGCAAACAATATCTCACTTGATTTTGCATTGGCCGGCAAACACTTTGTCCGTACCAGCCCAAAGGAAGGCTCGAAGTAACAAATTGCATTGATTGTACCTCGCGGCAGGAAAATGGAGGTTAGGTGGTAATTAAGTTGAGAGGTCAGGACAGACTTGAAAAAAGAACATCTTCCCGCGACTTGGTTTCGCTCTGAGAAGATATATGTTACTTAAAGATGCATTTTTGGTTAATAAATACTACTCGCCATATTGAGTACTACCTCCATCCTGGCTTATAGGTCCCCTTTATAATTTGTGTCAAATTTTAACCAAAGATTTAAGTAATAAAATGTTAATGCTTGTCAACAAAAATTATATAATATATTTAAACATAATTTTTAATGATATAATTTTTTATTACATGCATGAACATTTTGTTAGTTCAATCTATGGTCAAAATTTGGCATGAAATACAATGGGGACCAGTAAACTAGGACGGAGGTAATACTATAGTGAAGATGCAGTATCAATTCTAGTGATCACCAATTGATTAAGAGTAATGCGTGATAAGTGCTCACAAATTATTCAAATCTCATCCTCCCAAGTTGACATCAATGATTAATGCTCATGAGATGCCAAAAGCCTTGATCCACACAATTCAGTATGCCGAGGGTGATGTATAACTTCAAAATAAAACTCATTTGTTTCTTTCTCTATTTCTTGTTGGGTTTCTTTTACAGCAGTATTTTACATGCATGTAAAATACCCCACTATACTAGGCTAGGACAGGTAAGGCAACACGCCCCGGTGATGCCTTGAATCAAAACTGAAGAAATAAAAGTGTAACATAGAAATGAATTTTTTTTTGATAAAAATCTGTTATTAAAGCAGGGCAACGTAAGCAAGAATAACTTGTAAGCAGCGAATCTACTAAATTGGAGAATGAAAAAACAGAGAATAAGATGGAAATAAGCATATTTACTAAAATTCAGAAAAATATTGGGTACAATATGGAAGCATGTCATGTTTCAAGGGGGATAACAGTGACAATAAAGTTAAGGAGAAGGGGAAATCAAAGGTAATGGAAGCAATTCAGTTGGCGCAAGATGCAGCCGAAATATGTTTCAGAAGACCTTTTTTTTTGGTGTCATGCATATAGTAATATAAACTGGTCGATTCAATAAACCAAGCAATGCATGGCCATATTTCGGAAGCAATGCATGGTTCTCTCCAGATCAAGGAAAATGGAAACATATGCCTGCACCCTCACACGAAATGAAGCAAACTCTATTCCGAAAGAAGCATATGCATTACAATGAAGAAACACAAATGATTAAGGAGCATGAAGAACATGGTGCAGTTACATATATACTATCAGTTGGAAGCTTGGATATATGAAAATAAAATCCTAAAAGATGTTGCCCCTAAAATTGGGAAGCACATGTGCTTCATGTACGTAATAAATTCAGAGGTAATAGTCGACGAATGAGTCAAGCAGTACACAATGGAGTGCCCAAATTTGAGGCCAGCAAAAGGGACTATGCAACCATATGCACATAGCGAACAAAACTTAGAACATACAAATAAATCAGAGAGGGGTACATCAAGATTTCTTGGACTCAATACCAAGGTTAGATGAGGATGGTGTCTGCGGAAGATGGGGGTCAAGGGGGCGAATCCAGTTGTCTTACTTACGTGATGGCTTCGTTCCTCAACCGAGCGGACCCTCTGCCACGATGAACCAGAAGCCGTGTGCCATGAAGGTACTATTGATGCTCCAGGCGGCAAATGGGTTGTGAGCTCATTCCTTGTGTGCGTCATGTAGAAGGAGCGCGGCCACCGGATGGGACGGCACACCGGCCAGGTTAATCTCAAGGTCCAAGGGGGAATGTCTGGATCGTGGCGGATGGATCCAGAGTGAGAGCTCAGGGATGGAGGTGATTCGGGAGCACGCTATGGAGACGGGGACGAGGGACGCCTGGCGTGGGTTTAGGGCAGGTGCGATTATTACGAGAGTGATTATGGGTGAATATGTGGCGAGAAAATCTCCCAGATTTGGAAACATATCTATGAGATTTGGAATCAATTTCGGCCGTGAGATGAAAGCTGCATCTACGTCTCTTGACCATTCTGTAGATTTTCTCCCGTCAGACATCTGTTAGGAAGCGTTTCCTTTAGATCTGAGGAGATATAAGTTACTCGAAGTACTAGTCAATATGCAGTAATATCAATTATCAATTGTAGTGGTCACCAGTTGATCAAGAGTAATGCGTCATAAGTTCTCACAAATTATTGAAATCTCATCCTCCCAAGTTGACATCAATGATTAATGCTCATGACATGCGAAAAGCCTTGATCCACACAATTCAGTATGCCCAGGGTGATGTATAGCTTCAAAATAAAACTCGTTTGTTTCTTCCCAAATACTTAATCATGCAGCTGCGCTCAATGGACGTCGCGAGCGTACACTCATGGTCCGAATGATGCAACAAACTGATTCCAGATTTGGTAAACTAGCCACCAACTTATTCTATATAAGGAAAGATTCTTCAATTACAGTGCGTTGATTTTTCTTCACCTTGTCCGACCAACCGTGTCAACCCAGCGATGTCGTAACGTGCATTGATTTTGGTACAAGAAAATTCAAAAAACTATAACTTTCACACTACGTGTTCGAATGATGATCCGTTTTCACCGCTGCATTCCTTGTGTTGAGCTCTTGAAAACTAGATCCCATATAAATATGTTTTGATGATTTAAAAAAACAACAACTTTGATGCTAGATGAGGTAAGTTTAGTGCTAAACATGAGCAACTTCGATGTTAGAAGAATTGCACCATGTGTATAAGTGGATTCGCCTAGTAGCCTCCTACTTAGTGTGTAGGTAATAGGTGGTTACATAGTTCGTTACCTACCATATTGTGAAAGTTGTTCATCATAAAGTGGGAAAGTTGTCTAACATGGTTTTTTAGTTGTCTGCCTCCGAAACGAAGTTGCCTACATCACTACGAAGCTTCCCGAGGGTGATCTGCAATTGCCTAAAATACCACGAAAGTTGTCCATCAGGGGTCTTAAGTTGCCAACGCTACTCAGCACATGGTCGTTGGCTAGTCAGGTCGCGGTGTTAGATGAGAAGTTGTATAGGGGGTTATCAGAAGTTTCATAGCAGGGCGGATCAGACAATTGCCTACAAACCTACGCAAATTCTTAATTTTTGGTTAAGTTGCCTACAAATATCATTGAAATCTTCAGATATAATGATGGAAAACACACATGAGTTGGCTAGTCAGGTCGCGACGAGCTTTTCAAAACTAAACTCCACATGGATATATTTCTTTAATATTTTTAAAAGCAACTTTGATGCTAGATGAGGCAACTTTAGTGCTAAACAGAAGCAACTTCACTCCATTAAAAATAACTAAT